GTGGGGAGGTCGGGGGCTGGGCAGAGGCGGGCCGGGCGGCTGCCGGGCTGAAGGGAGCGGGCAGGACGCGCGGCCACGACCTTGGTTTGTGGTGAAGGAGAACCGGCGGTGGAGGAGCTCCCTTCCACAGCTGTCCTCAGCCCTGGCTGCCCCTCGGGCCTGGGGTCTCTTGCTGGCCCGCACAGGCCGCTGGGCCTATGGCCTGGCATTGTCACCGGCATGGCGTCGGAGGGGGCTGTGGGGACAACGCCGTAGAGATGCCTGCTCCTCTCGCCTGGGAAGCCTTGCACTCCTTGCAGCGAGAGTCCCAGGGGATTTACTCTCTGGGTCTGGTTTAATCACTCCAAGCATTAAATAGAAATGAATAATGTTCCCTATCAGAGCCTCTAAGGGGGCTAGCAGCAGCATATGCTGGTGTTTTGCTGCAGCGTGTAACGTGGAGCTGACGAAATGCTCTTGAAAAGGCCTGATACCAGTGGGGAACAACGCGTGTCCTAAGGGAACCTGTCTTATCCAGGGACACTCCAGACCGGGTGAGCTCAGGGAAGCTGGAGAGGGGTGAGGAGGAGCTGCTGTGCTGACTGTGCGGGTGTCAGCATCTGCTCGTCACAACCACCTCCCCAAGACCACCTTCTTGGCAGTCTGCGCACACCTCCTGCTGTCTGTTGCCTTAGGATCTGATGAGAAATGTTTGGGGCAGAATCTTTCTCCACTGTGTCCACTGACTCCAAACTGGTGCTCCTCAGCGCAGGTGGTCTAGAGCATCATCACTCAAGAGCCATTACTCAGCCCCAGGACAGACGAGTAAGCTCAAGCCACCTTTACCTTCACAAGTTCACTAGTACCTGGCATCTTCCAGCCAAGGATCCCGCAGCCCTTAGTGAGCCATGATGCAGCTCTTGTACAGGCACTGTCACCGCTAGCTGGGCAACCATGTCACACGCCAACGGGTGAATGCCTTTATGGAATGAAATGTTACTCGCTAAGTATTACTTTTTATCAGGCAAAGTTGAAAGGCCTGAGAGGTCAGGGGAGATGAATTAGTGGTTCCTAGTAGCTTGTAAGTGTGTGAATTTGTGAATAAGTAACCTTGGCTTGAACGCCCACAGTGGACTCGTTCCTCTCTGCAGAATGAGACTGCCTGGAGGAACTGCTCTGCTTGCTGTTGCGCACCGCACATGCATGGGACAGCACGCACGCCGTACCATGAGGAGCCAGCGGGCTACATCCACCGTGCAAGGAAACAACAGTGCAGGCCTTGCTTCATCTGACTCACGATTATTTATGTCTTGAATGGCAACCCCAGGCAGACCCAGGTGTGCTGGATGGGCCTGTCACAAAGTACCAGCTGATCCTTGCCCCTGAGAGCTGCTGGACAGGTGTTACAAAGCATGTACCTGCTTGGAAATCTGGCTGGGCACAATAATAATTACACTAACAAAATGAAATTTGAACTGTTTATTGGCTCAGGCAAAGTAAGGTTTCTGGAAACCCACCCTTCACTGTTCCTTTCTCAGTCTCAGCTACAGGGAAAAAGAGTTAACTGCAGCCTGGACAGGTAAGTCATTACTTCTTTTAAATGTTACTTTCTAAGCTGACAGCATTGCTGTAGGCAGGCTCCTGAGGTCATTTGACAAGTCAGCAGCAGCCTGAGAGAGAAGACAGAAAGCTTGTTCTGTGCTCTATAGCCAGCCCCCTGCCTTTTCCCTCCAGCAGACCATGGCACCAGGGTCTGCAGTCTCTGTGGCCAGAGGGGCAACAACGTCCAATCTCCAAAACATTAAAGGCAAGTACTATGCTTTGTTAAAATTAAAGCCAGTGTCCCTGACAGTCTAAGCATTTACTCCTAAACATCTGCTGGCAGCTGCTTCCATTTCCCCTCCGTCCTTTTTGCTCCACAGGGACTGCTGTGTGCTGCAGCAGCCTGCCTAGCACTCTCACTCGCGTGTTTATCCTGTTTGGTGTCCCACGGTATCGCAGAGAGAGTCAAGTGTCTCATCAAGGACTGTGTCTAGGCAGGGCGCTGATGTGAGCTTCACTGATGAATCACACCGAGAAAAGATAAACGATGGGGAACGTAACATCCCCGTCTGGCCAGGAATTGAATTTTAATGAGGTTTTATGCTGTACTTATCATTCCCTGATGTCAGTGCTTGTCCACAGTACAAGCTGCCTCTTACTGTCAGCAGGATGCCAGTAAAGGCCCCTGAAATGGAGAGCTGGGAATGATGCTAGCTGAGGCCAGGAAAACTATGTGCAGCACTGTTTTGGGAATTTGAGGCCAAGAATAGCTTCAGGCAGGTTTTCCTCATCGTGGCTGAAATTATCCACGTCTGGGACACCCAGCAGCATATTGGTGGGAATGATTTGTGGCTTCAGTACAGGTGGAGTCAAGGAGACTCCAAAACCGGAAGATTAGAAAATGAATCCTAAAAGCGGATCTCAGGCCTGCTTATTTGAGCAAACGACTCTGCGAGGAGGGAAGTACTCTTCCAAGCTGCTAAACTGAATTCAGATGTCAAAAGGCATATACAGCACCCAAACCGCCTGTGGCCAAAACAGGGCACCTTCATATGAACGTGCATGCTAAGAAACTTGTGACAGTGAACTTTTCTTGGCAGTGGAAGAGACATCTAGGTAAATGCAAATACTGACTGCATACAGATAGTAACATACACTATGAAAGATCCTGCTATGGTCCACCCCATTGACACGGCTTCACCAACCCTTTGGCGACAGAGAGATCCAACATTTTTCTAGGCTGCAAGCCCCAAAGCAAACCACTGAATCAAAACGCTGGAAAATGGCCCGGACCTCCCTCTGCACTGCTGGGAAGAACAGAACAGCCGGTGCTGAGATGAAAGGTATGGCAATTTGCCTCATTGATGCTGTAGGTATGTCATCCATGTCATGTATCTGTCCTGCTTAAGTCTTATCCGTTTGGATGTCCTCCCTTTATTTTTCACTATTAAATTAACCCCATCTTGCATGACCAATAATTGCACACTCCTCTAATAATTGCATGTTTTTTCTCTCTACTGCCCCAGTAATAGGCTGAGGGAATCACAAGCTGTAGTTTCACTTGCATTTTCTTTAGCAAACTTTTTTTTTTCTTCAGGTGGAGTTATTTTTAACCTGGCTCAATTCCCAAATTAGATTCACTGCCTGACGGCATAAGAAGTTGTACCAGTGCACTTGGGAGAAACAGGGGAGTGTGTGCTACCGATGTGAAAGAAGGTCTAGGTGTCCAGAGGGAGGGCTTGGCCTAGCACTGCTGCCAGACAAAGTGCTTGTGGAAATGCAGCCTTGGCTTCTAATTTTTCATGTGCCTTCACAAAGAGGTCTAAGGAATTGTCCTAATGCACACAAGAGCCAAGGAGGCAGTTTACACCTGAGTTGAGAACACACTGCCAATCTTGGGAATATATGCGATTTCCTAAGATTTGTCCTCAGCCTACCTTAGGTAGACAAAGCCGGTAGGTGTAGGTGGTCGTTACCGCTCTCTGCCACTTGAGGTCACCCCTTTGCCCAAAGGCAAAGGAGGAAAGCACAGATGTAGTAGCAAGGACAGGACAGTTCCAAGTGCCAAAAAAGGGTCCAGGACAGAAACAGCCACCAATATCCCCTCGTTAAATCCAGAAGAGCCAGGACTTGAGCCTGTCGTGAGTGCACCTCGTTCTCTCAGCAAAAGGAAGATGGCAAACACGAGCCACTGATTCTCTAGGAACCTCATCCTGCCCTCCTGCTTCCCAGCTCATACTCTCACAGGTCAGTGAGAGCTGTCAATGGTCTGTAGATACCTTGTGGGAGGCACTCGGGACCCTGCAGTTTGGCCCCTAGGAGAGCTTCAGGCCTTACACCCGTTAGGTTGGGGGAGGATTTTTTTCTGTGTGCTTGGGTGCCACGATACAGGAACTAGCTTGACAGAAACTCAATGATACGAGCTGCAAAGCTGTGACTGTCTCAGGAGCTAAATGAAGCGTGGCTCCCAGAGAAAAGGAACAGCATTCCTTAGTGAGTAATAGGAACAAAAATATAGAATTTTCAGGACACAATCCTTTGACCCTGAAACAGAAAATGCCCACTCCAGGATAAGTGGCACTAGGAAGACTTACTCTGGGTTTAATTTATGTCAAGAGAAAAAAATGGTTAATACCCATAGAGCAGAAAGAGATACGCTAAGAGCAGAGGTGGCAAGTCCTGCGCGTCAGAGACAGAGGTAATTCTCACCTGAGGAACAGTGACGGTTTGTACAGTAAGGCTGGATGGAAACAGCAAAAAGCCGTAAAATCAATATCCCCCTAGTTAGACTGTGAAGGAAACAAGGTATACTGAGAGTTGTTTTCATTAGATCTACTGTTACCCCGTAGTTGAAAACAGCAGCTTAGTTTCTGGGATCAGTTTCTCTTAATGAGGTTTTTATTTCCCCAAAGCTTATTTACTTTTCCAGGTTACTACGCTTCTCTGTAAACCAGGTCTCCCAAGGAAAGACAATCCCTGAGCAATCACAGATTAAAATCCTACTACTTAAAAATGCTTCTCCAACAGAGCAGTAAAAAAAAAAAAAAAAAAGAAAAAATCTGCAGCCTTTGGGAAAAAAGCCAGCATGAAAGATTTAAAAAAGAGAAAGGTCAGCATGCTCTATGAAGGCATTGTCTATGCAGGCAGCATCTGGCAGCAGGCATCCCTTAACCTTACCTAGCCTGAACCGACTGCTAATGGACATTTACCCTCTGCTGCTGCAGAGCCACCCTGCTCCATTCTCTCTCTGCAGGGCTGACTCACTCTGCAGCGCACTCACAGGCACGCAATCCGCCACATTACAGAGGACTATTTACATGCCAGCAGACGCCACCTCTTTTCATCAGGCACTCTACGAGTCTTGTCATTTCGTGCTCTGAGGCTGCCTGTTCCCCTCTTCCAAACCAAATACAAAGTCAATCCCTGCCAGATGGGACTGCACTCTGATCTAGCATGCTGCCAGTAAACGAAGGAAAGGGACCAAAAGGTCGGTAATTTTCTGAAAGCCCTGAATCACTTGAGAAATGTGCTGATGCAATAGCATCAGTGAAGGACTCAAAATGCGTGTTTTCACCCGGGAGTCATCAATGAGGATCTAGAGCATCACTGTCAGAAAATGCTTGGCCGAGGCAACATGCTCAGATTGTTAATTTTACTCCTGGCATATTTGCAGGTGCTCAGCACAGAGCAATCCTCCACC